TCCTCCTCCTCCTTCTTCTTCTCCTCCTTCTCTTCTTCTCCTCCTTCTTCTTCTTCTCCTCCTTCTCCTTCTTCTCCTCCTCTCCTTCTTCTTCCTCCTCCTCCTTCTTCTCCTCCTTCTTCTTCTTCTTCTTCTCCTCCTTCTCCTTCTTCTTCTTCTTCTCCTCCTTCTCCTTCTTCTTCTTCTCCTCCTCCTCCTCCTCCTCCTCTTTCTTCTCCTCCTCCTCCTCCTCCTCCTCCTCTTCTTCTCCTCCTCCTCCTCCTTCTCCTCCTCCTCCTCCTTCTCCTCCTCCTCCTCCTCCTTCTTCTTCTTCTCCTCCTTCTCCTTCTTCTCCTCCTTCTCCTTCTTCTTCTTCTCCTTCTTCTCCTCCTTCTCCTCTCTTCTTCTTCTTCTTCTCCTCCTTCTCCTTCTTCTTCTTCTTCTTCTTCTCCTCCTCCTCGTCCTCCTCCTCTTTCTTCTCCTCCTCCTCCTCCTCCTCCTCCTCTCCTTCTTCTTCTCCTCCTTCTTCTCCTCCTCCTCCTCCTCCTCTTCTTCTCTCCTCTTCTCCTCCTCCTCCTCCTGCTCCTCCTGCTCCTCCTCCTCCTCCTCCTCCTCCTCCTCCTCCAGTGGTTGTCAGAGGAGTCAGAGCTGCACAGACTCGGTGGAGGACAGAGGAGTGAAGGTGAAGGTGTTCCCTCAGCCGGCCGTGATGGACAGAGTGAGTTGATGAGTGAGTTGATGATCGATGTGTTTGAGATGTTTCTTCACAGAGTATAAAAACAAAGTGTGTCTCTCGTCTGTCAGGTCGGTATCAGCCACAGCTTTACGGCGGGGATCCTCCTCTCGTCTGAGAACAGTCGCTCTGTCTCCGCCCCCATCACCGCCCCCGACCGCCGGCTCCCCTGGCGAGCCGTCATCACGTCGTCCTCTACCCCTCTGGTCGCCCCCCCGCCGCGGCCCGAGCGCTCCATCAGCCCCGAGAGCAACGACAGCATCTCCGAAGAACTCAACCACTTCAAACCCATCGTCTGCTCGCCGTGCACGCCGCCCAAACGGCTGCCGGACGGCCGCGTGATGGAGCCCGCCATCGTCAAGTCCACGCCCAGGAACCTGATCCGCGGCCTGCAGAAGGCCACCAGCTACGAGGCCAGTCCCGCCGTGCTGCAGAAGTGGAGGCAGATCGAGCTGGATCGCCAGAGTCTCAAGGTGACCTCCAAGGCCACGCTGACGACCCCGGTCAACGAGATCCACAACAAGACGGGCGGGGGAGACGACGACCGAGGGGGCGGCGCCGCAAAGACGCGCCGGTCCCCTTCAGGACGGGACGGAGACGCGGTGACGACGGTCAACAAGAGGAGGCTTCTGTTTGAACCTCCGGCTGCAGACTCCGACGTCCTGCAGAGACAGTCTGTGAAGATCCGGGTCCCCGCCATCCGCTACAACAGCGAGGCCGCGTTCAGAGGCGGTACAGACTTTGAGACGACGGGTGGCGCCCCTGAGTCCGGCTGTGCGGGAGCGTTCTTCAGCCGCAGACAGTCGTTCTCTCCGTACTCTAAAAACTCCGGCTTCACGTCGTGTAAGTTAACGCCAAAGGACTCGCAGAGTCCCCGAAGGGAGTCGGACGGCAGCCTCCACAACCAGTCTACCTCGAGGAGGGGCAAGAAGAGGGAGCAGAAGACCAAACACCTGGACTCGGACCGGGACTCGGACACCAAGAGGAACCGGTCTGCGGGTCAGATCCAGCAGGACCGGGCGCTCGCCCTGAAGCTGCAGAGGCAGTTTGACCTGGAGAACCAGACCGGAGGCCGCAGGAGGAGCCCCGACACCTACTTCCTGCGCTCCTGGATGTCCAATCAGAACCGCAGGAGGCGTGGCCTGAGGAGATCCCGACGAATCAACAAAAAGCACTAGATCAGGACATGGCGTGCTGACTCGCGGTAGTTCATATATGCAAAGAGACAAGTGGAGATGGTTTGAATGTTTTTTTACACGACGTCGTCTCACCAGCAGATCACCTGACACGACGACGTCCCACCTTCTATTCACAGATGAAATCATTTAAAGCCAACACACACATACACAAACGATTGTTGCTGCAGCTGTGAGGGCTGAATAAACCAATCATCAACGCTTTTATTACTAACAGGGCAAACAGCCAATCACAGTTTATGACCCCCCCTCTGGACACGCCCCTGCTCTGCTAACATGGTTTAAACTCTGCAGCTGCACCAAAACAAAGTCCAATATGTTCCTCTGTCCACTCAGAGGCCCGGGGGCCACAGTTTGGGCCACGGTATGGTCTGTGTCTGCTCAGACGTGTGAGCCCTCATTGTTCATTGCTGAACTCTCCTCTGTGACCGCCGAGGCTCATGGGTAATAATAATATTTTTATTAAAAACATGTAAAAACAGGCGGGGCAGAGCTCCATCCATTATCTGTCACACTTTTCCCGTTCGGGGTCACGGGGTCGGGAGCTCATCCCAGCTGTCATTGGGGGCGGGGCTACATCCTGGACTATTCAGCAGCCATGTGGTGCTAAAAGGTCTGACATGTTAGCTGAGAGCTCTAAAAGAGATAAAACACAGCGCCGCCGTGCTCAGGTGCTAACACAGGAGTGATGATGTCATCTGAGGTCTGCACCAACCAGAGTCCATCTTTACAGAAAGGTTGTTCCAGTCGTGGAGACGTGACGAGGTCTCCACGTGTTTCAAAGTTCAAATAGATTCCTGAGATGATAAAAAGGAGACACTCAGAGTCTGTGGCAGGTTTGAACCAGCAGGTGGCAGTGTTTGTTCAGAGCTGCTCCACAGACTGGATTCATTCATGTTGAACAGTGTGGCTCAGAGGGCGTGTTCCCGTCAGAGGGCGTGTTCCCGTCAGAGGGCGTGTTCCCGTCAGAGGGCGTGTTCCCGTCAGAGGGCGTGTTCCCGTCAGAGGGCGTGTTCCCGTCACTCAACACGGTCTGTAACATTCGGAGGATGGTCGGCGTGCTGAGTGCCAAATTATGCAAATGAGTGTGATGTGAAATGTTTTGTACGAGACGCCAAGAAAACCTGAGACGACTGTACGCCTCCTGTCTGCTTTGTGACTGACACACACACACACACACACACACACACACACACACACACACACACACACACACACACACACACACACACACACACACACACACACAGACACACACAGACACAGACACACACACACAGACACAGACACACACAGACACACACACACACACAGACACACACACAGACACACACACACACACACACACACACACACACACACACAGACACACACACACACACACACACACAGACACACACACACACACACACACACAGACACACACACACAGACACACAGACACACACACACACACAGACACACAGAGACACAGACACACACACACACACACACAGACACAGACACACACACACACACACACACACACACAGACACACAGACACAGACACACACACACACACACACACACACACACAGACACACACAGACACACACACACAGACACACACACACACACACACAGACAGACACACACACACAGACACACACACACACACACACACAGACAGACACACACACACACACACAGACACACACACACACACACACACAGACACACACACACAGACACACACACACACACACACACACACACACACACACACACACACACACACACACACACACACAGACACACAGACACACACACACAGACACACACACACAGACACACACACATACACACCCATTCTAAAAAGCCTGTTTTTACAGCAGAGATGAACATGTTTACAGCTTGGTACAAAACAAACAAATAGGTGTGATTAGCTCATGTCTGGATGGACACACACTGTACGGGGGGTGAATGTTTTGATGACTCATCAGTTTTGATTTGATGAAGGATAAGAGTTATTCACAATAAGGCGTGTAGCTGACCTGATTGACAGGTGGGCGCAGTGTAACGGTTTGTCAGGAGGTTTAAAACCCGCCTCAGCTCCAGCTCTCAGCCTGTCGTTAGGTTGACTCAAAGTTAGACTGAGACAGCATTTCCAGCATGGAGACCGCCATCGATGGGACTCCAGCGCCCCCTGCAGGGACAGACGGGGGACGCCATCGATGGGACTCCAGCGCCCCCTGCAGGGACAGACGGGGGACGCCATCGATGGGACTCCAGCGCCCCCTGCAGGGACAGACGGGGGACGTGACTCAGGCTTTGTTCATCTTTTTGATGATTTGATGCTGGAGTGTAAATCAGGAGAGAATGTTGCAGAATGAATTTGAAGGTTCAGATAGCGAGGTGAACTAAACACTAAATATAACTTTATTCATAATGAACCTTTCATACAAACATGAAGCCAAAAAATAAATAAATAAATAAATAGAACGAAAACAGTTTGAGGAAATCAAAAATATGAACTTTAGATTGAATAAAAGGTCAAAGTTCTGTTTAATATAAAGAACACGGTTTTGACCTCTGACCCCTTAACTCCAGCGGGGAGAGGAGCGCGCACGCTGCTGCGTCCATTCCTCGGGCACGCGTACGTGCCGGCGTCGCCATACGTGGCTGGTCGTTCAGATGCTTCCGGCAGCCAATCAGAAGCGTCCAAGTCACAGCGCCGTGTTTGTACGGAAGAGAAGATGGCTGCTGCTCGGAACGGGAAGAGCGGACTGCTGGAGAAAGTGAGACTTTAAGTTTGATATGTTTCACTCACGTGGGCACATTTAACCGCTTTTACTCCATTTCTGAGGACAGACTGCGGCTGCGCGGACTCCAGCTCTTTGTGAGCCAGAAAACAGCGGCTGTGGTTCTCTGCCGTTAGCATGCTAGGCTAACTGTAGCAGGCTTCTCATCACCTTATTGGAATTAAAACAATGAAGAGGAGGTGAAGAGGAGGTGAAGAGGAGGTGAAGAGGAGGTGATAAGCAGGTGAAGAGGAGGTGAAGAGGAGGTGATAAGCAGGTGAAGAGGAGGTGATGAGGAGGTGATAAGCAGGTGAAGAGGAGGTGATAAGCAGGTGAAGAGGAGGTGAAGAGGAGGTGACAAGCAGGTGAAGAGGAGGTGATAAGCAGGTGAAGAGGAGGTGATAAGCAGGTGAAGAGGAGGTGATGAGGAGGTGAAGAGGAGGTGATAAGCAGGTGAAGAGGAGGTGATAAGCAGGTGAAGAGGAGGTGATAAGCAGGTGAAGAGGAGGTGATGAGGAGGTGAAGAGGAGGTGATAAGCAGGTGAAGAGGAGGTGATAAGCAGGTGAAGAGGAGGTGATGAGGAGGTGAAGAGGAGGTGATAAGCAGGTGAAGAGGAGGTGATGAGGAGGTGAAGAGGAGGTGATAAGCAGGTGAAGAGGAGGTGAGGAGGTGAAGAGAAGGTGACAAGCAGGTGAAGAGGAGGTGAAGAGGAGGTGATGAGGAGGTGAAGAGAAGGTGACAAGCAGGTGAAGAGGAGGTGAAGAGGAGGTGATAAGCAGGTGAAGAGGAGGTGATGAGGAGGTGAAGAGGAGGTGATAAGCAGGTGAAGAGGAGGTGATAAGGAGGTGAAGAGGAGGTGATAAGCAGGTGAAGAGGAGGTGATAAGCAGGTGAAGAGGAGGTGATAAGGAGGTGAAGAGGAGGTGATAAGCAGGTGAAGAGGAGGTGAAGAGGAGGTGACAAGCAGGTGAAGAGGAGGTGATAAGGAGGTGATAAGCAGGTGAAGAGGAGGTGATGAGGAGGTGATAAGCAGGTGAAGAGGAGGTGATAAGGAGGTGAAGAGGAGGTGATAAGCAGGTGAAGAGCAGGTGAAGAGGAGGTGATGAGGAGGTGAAGAGAAGGTGATAAGCAGGTGAAGAGGAGGTGATAAGCAGGTGAAGAGGAGGTGATAAGGAGGTGAAGGGGAGGTGATAAGGAGGTGAAGGGGAGGTGATAAGGAGGTGAAGAGGAGGTGAAGAGCAGGTGAAGGGGAGGTGATAAGCAGGTGAAGGGGAGGTGATAAGGAGGTGAAGAGCAGGTGAAGAGCAGGTGAAGGGGAGGTGATAAGCAGGTGAAGAGGAGGTGATAAGGAGGTGAAGAGGAGGTGATAAGGAGGTGAAGGGGAGGTGATAAGGAGGTGAAGGGGAGGTGATAAGGAGGTGAAGAGGAGGTGAAGAGCAGGTGAAGGGGAGGTGATAAGCAGGTGAAGGGGAGGTGATAAGGAGGTGAAGAGCAGGTGAAGAGCAGGTGAAGGGGAGGTGATAAGCAGGTGAAGGGGAGGTGATAAGGAGGTGAAGAGGAGGTGATAAGGAGGTGAAGGGGAGGTGATAAGGAGGTGAAGAGCAGGTGAAGAGGAGGTGATAAGCAGGTGAAGAGGAGGTGATAAGGAGGTGAAGGGGAGGTGATAAGGAGGTGAAGGGGAGGTGATAAGGAGGTGAAGAGGAGGTGAAGAGCAGGTGAAGGGAGGTGATAAGCAGGTGAAGGGGAGGTGATAAGGAGGTGAAGAGCAGGTGAAGAGCAGGTGAAGGGGAGGTGATAAGCAGGTGAAGGGGAGGTGATAAGGAGGTGAAGAGGAGGTGAAGAGCAGGTGAAGAGGAGGTGATAAGCAGGTGAAGAGGAGGTGATAAGCAGGTGAAGAGGAGGTGACAAGCAGGTGAAGAGGAGGTGACAAGCAGGTGAAGAGGAGGTGAAGCCTGTGTCTGCTGAGCAAACAGCTGTTCAGTCAGTCTGAACAAACAGCTGTTCAGTCAGTCTGAACAAACAGCTGTTCAGTCAGTCTGTTCAAACAGCTGTTCAGTCAGTCTGAACAAACAGCTGTTCAGTCAGTCTGTTCAAACAGCTGTTCAGTCAGTCTGAACAAACAGCTGTTCAGTCAGTCTGAACAAACAGCTGTTCAGTCAGTCTGTTCAAACAGCTGTTCAGTCAGTCTGTTCAAACAGCTGTTCAGTCAGTCTGAACAAACAGCTGTTCAGTCAGTCTGTTCAAACAGCTGTTCAGTCAGTCTGAACAAACAGCTGTTCAGTCAGTCTGTTCAAACAGCTGTTCAGTCAGTCTGTTCAGTCAGTCTGTTCAAACAGCTGTTCAGTCAGTCTGAACAAACAGCTGTTCAGTCAGTCTGTTCAAACAGCTGTTCAGTCAGTCTGTTCAAACAGCTGTTCAGTCAGTCTGTTCAAACAGCTGTTCAGTCAGTCTGAACAAACAGCTGTTCAGTCAGTCTGAACAAACAGCTGTTCAGTCAGTCTGAACAAACAGCTGTTCAGTCAGTCTGTTCAGTCAGTCTGTTCAAACAGCTGTTCAGTCAGTCTGAACAAACAGCTGTTCAGTCAGTCTGTTCAAACAGCTGTTCAGTCAGTCTGAACAAACAGCTGTTCAGTCAGTCTGTTCAAACAGCTGTTCAGTCAGTCTGAACAAACAGCTGTTCAGTCAGTCTGTTCAAACAGCTGTTCAGTCAGTCTGAACAAACAGCTGTTCAGTCAGTCTGAACAAACAGCTGTTCAGTCAGTCTGTTCAGTCAGTCTGTTCAAACAGCTGTTCAGTCAGTCTGAACAAACAGCTGTTCAGTCAGTCTGAACAAACAGCTGTTCAGTCAGTCTGTTCAAACAGCTGTTCAGTCAGTCTGTTCAGTCAGTCTGAACAAACAGCTGTTCAGTCAGTCTGTTCAAACAGCTGTTCAGTCAGTCTGAACAAACAGCTGTTCAGTCAGTCTGAACAAACAGCTGTTCAGTCAGTCTGAACAAACAGCTGTTCAGTCAGTCTGTTCAGTCAGTCTGTTCAAACAGCTGTTCAGTCAGTCTGAACAAACAGCTGTTCAGTCAGTCTGTTCAAACAGCTGTTCAGTCAGTCTGAACAAACAGCTGTTCAGTCAGTCTGTTCAAACAGCTGTTCAGTCAGTCTGAACAAACAGCTGTTCAGTCAGTCTGAACAAACAGCTGTTCAGTCAGTCTGTTCAAACAGCTGTTCAGTCAGTCTGTTCAAACAGCTGTTCAGTCAGTCTGTTCAGTCAGTCTGTTCAAACAGCTGTTCAGTCAGTCTGAACAAACAGCTGTTCAGTCAGTCTGTTCAAACAGCTGTTCAGTCAGTCTGTTCAGTCAGTCTGAACAAACAGCTGTTCAGTCAGTCTGTTCAAACAGCTGTTCAGTCAGTCTGTTCAAACAGCTGTTCAGTCAGTCTGTTCAAACAGCTGTTCAGTCAGTCTGTTCAAACAGCTGTTCAGTCAGTCTGTTCAGTCAGTCTGAACAAACAGCTGTTCAGTCAGTCTGTTCAAACAGCTGTTCAGTCAGTCTGTTCAAACAGCTGTTCAGTCAGTCTGAACAAACAGCTGTTCAGTCAGTCTGTTCAAACAGCTGTTCAGTCAGTCTGTTCAAACAGCTGTTCAGTCAGTCTGTTCAGTCAGTCTGAACAAACAGCTGTTCAGTCAGTCTGTTCAAACAGCTGTTCAGTCAGTCTGAACAAACAGCTGTTCAGTCAGTCTGAACAAACAGCTGTTCAGTCAGTCTGAACAAACAGCTGTTCAGTCAGTCTGTTCAAACAGCTGTTCAGTCAGTCTGTTCAGTCAGTCTGAACAAACAGCTGTTCAGTCAGTCTGTTCAAACAGCTGTTCAGTCAGTCTGAACAAACAGCTGTTCAGTCAGTCTGAACAAACAGCTGTTCAGTCAGTCTGAACAAACAGCTGTTCAGTCAGTCTGTTCAAACAGCTGTTCAGTCAGTCTGTTCAGTCAGTCTGAACAAACAGCTGTTCAGTCAGTCTGTTCAAACAGCTGTTCAGTCAGTCTGAACAAACAGCTGTTCAGTCAGTCTGTTCAAACAGCTGTTCAGTCAGTCTGAACAAACAGCTGTTCAGTCAGTCTGAACAAACAGCTGTTCAGTCAGTCTGTTCAAACAGCTGTTCAGTCAGTCTGTTCAAACAGCTGTTCAGTCAGTCTGAACAAACAGCTGTTCAGTCAGTCTGTTCAAACAGCTGTTCAGTCAGTCTGTTCAAACAGCTGTTCAGTCAGTCTGTTCAAACAGCTGTTCAGTCAGTCTGTTCAAACAGCTGTTCAGTCAGTCTGTTCAAACAGCTGTTCAGTCAGTCTGTTCAGTCAGTCATTCAACATTAGATTGAATGAACTGCTTCATTAAAGACCTGTGTGTGTGTGTGTGTGTGTGTGTGTGTGTGTGTGTGTGTGTGTGTGTGTGTGTGTGTGTGTGTGTGTGTGTGTGTGTGTGTGTGTGTGTGGTGTGTGTGTGTGTGTGTGTGTGTGTGTGTGTGTGTGTGTGTGTGTGTGTGTGTGTGTGTGTGTGTGTGTGTGTGTGTGTGTGTGTGTGTGTGCAGTAAAGCTGATCACTCAGCTGCTTCCTGCTCAGCAGACTCTTTGATCTGAACAACCTTTCATACCGTCCTGATGTCTGTTTGTACTCTGTGACGTCATGAAGCTTAGTCCTCTCTGTGGTTTTACATTAGTGAAGGGGGTCAGAGGTCAGGGGTCAGATGTCAGGGGTCAGAGGTCAGGGGTCAGGGGGAGCAGCTGGTTGGTGTCCTGAGTTCCACTTCAGTGTTTTTATAATCGACTTGACGTGTTCAAACATTTATGTATCTTTAAACATGTTGGCAAAGAAGACATGTGTAACTCAGTCCACCTTCAGGGTGGCTGTGGCTCAGTGGTAGAGTCGGTCGGGTGGTTCAATCCCCAGCTCCTGCAGCCACATGTCCGATGTGACCTCGGGCAACACACTTAACCCCGAGTTGCTCCAGCTGCTTCAGCGGCTTTGAGCAGTCAGAAGACGAGAAAATAAATAAAGAAGCTCAAGTTCAAGTGTCTTAAAGCTCCTACCTTCTCTGGTCCAATCAAATCCTGACAGAGAGGAGGTGATGAGGAGGTGATGAGGAGGTGATCAGACCTCCTGACAGAGAGGAGGTGATGAGGAGGTGATGAGGAGGTGATCAGACCTCCTGACAGAGAGGAGGTGATGAGGAGGTGATCAGACCTCCTGACAGAGAGGAGGTGATCAGACCTCCTGACAGAGAGGAGGTGATGAGGAGGTGATCAGACCTCCTGACAGAGAGGAGGTGATCAGACCTCCTGACAGAGAGGAGGTGATGAGGAGGTGATCAGACCTCCTGACAGAGAGGAGGTGATCAGACCTCCTGACAGAGAGGAGGTGATGAGGAGGTGATCAGACCTCCTCCTGACAGAGAGGAGGTGATGAGGAGGTGATCAGACCTCCTGACAGAGAGGAGGTGATGAGGAGGTGATCAGACCTCCTCCTGACAGAGAGGAGGTGATGAGGAGGTGATCAGACCTCCTGACAGAGAGGAGGTGATGAGGAGGTGATCAGACCTCCTGACAGAGAGGAGGTGATCAGACCTCCTGACAGAGAGGAGGTGATGAGGAGGTGATCAGACCTCCTGACAGAGATGATCAGACCTCCTGACAGAGAGGAGGTGATGAGGAGGTGATCAGACCTCCTGACAGAGAGGAGGTGATCAGACCTCCTGACAGAGAGGAGGTGATGAGGAGGTGATCAGACCTCCTGACAGAGAGGAGGTGATGAGGAGGTGATCAGACCTCCTGACAGAGAGGAGGTGATGAGGAGGTGATCAGACCTCCTGACAGAGAGGAGGTGATCAGACCTCCTGACAGAGAGGAGGTGATGAGGAGGTGATGAGGAGGTGATCAGACCTCCTGACAGAGAGGAGGTGATGAGGAGGTGATCAGACCTCCTGACAGAGAGGAGGTGATCAGACCTCCTGACAGAGAGGAGGTGATGAGGAGGTGATGAGGAGGTGATCAGACCTCCTGACAGAGAGGAGGAGGTGATGAGGAGGTGATCAGACCTCCTGACAGAGAGGAGGTGATGAGGAGGTGATCAGACCTCCTGACAGAGAGGAGGTGATGAGGAGGTGATGAGGAGGTGATCAGACCTCCTGACAGAGAGAATCGATTGTTGATATTAAATCAGTTTTTTTGGTTTCAGTGGAGGATCGACGAGAAGCCGGTGAAAATTGATAAATGGGACGGAGCGGCGGTGAAGAACTCTCTGGATGACGCTGCTAAGAAGGTAAACGATCGTGATCTTTATTGTAATCAATCTTTAAACCTCCATCTGTGATCCACTCATCTGGTCTGTTGCGCCCCCTTCAGGTGCTGCTGGAGAAGTTTGAGTACGTGGAGAACTTCTGCCTGGTGGACGGCCGGCTGATGATCTGCACCGTGTCCTGTCTGTTCGCCATGCTGGCCCTGGTCTGGGACTACCTGCACCCGTTCCCCGAGTCCAGACCGGTGCTCGCCTGCTGCGTCATCTCATATCCTTTAAGAGACAGGAAGTCAAAGCCTTGATTTGTTCAGCCGTGTCACGTTAAATCTGGTTCTGTGGGTCTGGTTCAGTGAGGTCTGGTTCAGTGAGGGTCTGGTTCTATGTGGATCTGGTTCAGTGAGGTCTGGTTCAGTGAGGGTCTGGTTCTGTGAGGTCTGGTTCAGTGAGGATCTGGTTCTATGTGGATCTGGTTCAGTGAGGTCTGGTTCAGTGAGGATCTGGTTCTATGTGGATCTGGTTCAGTGAGGGTCTGGTTCTATGTGGATCTGGTTCAGTGAGGTCTGGTTCAGTGAGGTCTGGTTCAGTGAGGATCTGGTTCAGTGAGGATCTGGTTCAGTGAGGGTCTGGTTCTATGTGGATCTGGTTCTATGTGGATCTGGTTCAGTGAGGATCTGGTTCAGTGAGGATCTGGTTCAGTGAGGGTCTGGTTCAGTGAGGGTCTGGTTCTATGTGGATCTGGTTCAGTGAGGATCTGGTTCTATGTGGATCTGGTTCAGTGAGGATCTGGTTCAGTGAGGATCTGGTTCAGTGAGGATCTGGTTCTATGTGGATCTGGTTCAGTGAGGGTCTGGTTCTATGTGGATCTGGTTCAGTGAGGATCTGGTTCTATGTGGATCTGGTTCAGTGAGGATCTGGTTCAGTGAGGATCTGGTTCTATGTGGATCTGGTTCAGTGAGGGTCTGGTTCTATGTGGATCTGGTTCAGTGAGGTCTGGTTCAGTGAGGATCTGGTTCTATGTGGATCTAGTTCAGTGAGGGTCTGGTTCAGTGAGGGTCTGGTTCAGTGAGGGTCTGGTTCTATGTGGATCTGGTTCAGTGAGGATCTGGTTCAGTGAGGGTCTGGTTCTGTGAGGTCTGGTTCAGTGAGGGTCTGGTTCTGTGAGGTCTGGTTCAGTGAGGATCTGGTTCTATGTGGATCTGGTTCAGTGAGGTCTGGTTCAGTGAGGATCTGGTTCTATGTGGATCTGGTTCAGTGAGGATCTGGTTCAGTGAGGATCTGGTTCAGTGAGGGTCTGGTTCAGTGAGGGTCTGGTTCAGTGAGGATCTGGTTCTATGTGGATCTGGTTCAGTGAGGATCTGGTTCAGTGAGGATCTGGTTCAGTGAGGGTCTGGTTCTGTGAGGTCTGGTTCAGTGAGGGTCTGGTTCTGTGAGGTCTGGTTCTGTGAGGTCTGGTTCTGTGAGGTCTGGTTCAGTGAGGGTCTGGTTCTATGTGGATCTGGTTCAGTGAGGATCTGGTTCAGTGAGGATCTGGTTCAGTGAGGTCTGGTTCTATGTGGATCTGGTTCAGTGAGGTCTGGTTCAGTGAGGGTCTGGTTCTATGTGGATCTGGTTCAGTGAGGGTCTGGTTCAGTGAGGATCTGGTTCAGTGAGGATCTGGTTCAGTGAGGGTCTGGTTCAGTGAGGGTCTGGTTCTATGTGGATCTGGTTCAGTGAGGATCTGGTTCAGTGAGGATCTGGTTCAGTGAGGATCTGGTTCAGTGAGGGTCTGGTTCTGTGAGGTCTGGTTCAGTGAGGGTCTGGTTCTGTGAGGTCTGGTTCAGTGAGGATCTGGTTCTATGTGGATCTGGTTCAGTGAGGTCTGGTTCAGTGAGGATCTGGTTCTATGTGGATCTGGTTCAGTGAGGATCTGGTTCAGTGAGGATCTGGTTCAGTGAGGGTCTGGTTCAGTGAGGGTCTGGTTCAGTGAGGATCTGGTTCTATGTGGATCTGGTTCAGTGAGGATCTGGTTCAGTGAGGATCTGGTTCAGTGAGGGTCTGGTTCTGTGAGGTCTGGTTCAGTGAGGGTCTGGTTCTGTGAGGTCTGGTTCTGTGAGGTCTGGTTCTGTGAGGTCTGGTTCAGTGAGGGTCTGGTTCTATGTGGATCTGGTTCAGTGAGGATCTGGTTCAGTGAGGATCTGGTTCAGTGAGGGTCTGGTTCTATGTGGATCTGGTTCAGTGAGGTCTGGTTCAGTGAGGGTCTGGTTCTATGTGGATCTGGTTCAGTGAGGGTCTGGTTCAGTGAGGATCTGGTTCAGTGAGGATCTGGTTCAGTGAGGGTCTGGTTCAGTGAGGGTCTGGTTCTATGTGGATCTGGTTCAGTGAGGATCTGGTTCAGTGAGGATCTGGTTCAGTGAGGGTCTGGTTCTGTGAGGTCTGGTTCTGTGAGGTCTGGTTCTGTGAGGTCTGGTTCAGTGAGGGTCTGGTTCTGTGAGGTCTGGTTCAGTGAGGATCTGGTTCTATGTGGATCTGGTTCAGTGAGGTCTGGTTCAGTGAGGATCTGGTTCTATGTGGATCTGGTTCAGTGAGGATCTGGTTCAGTGAGGGTCTGGTTCAGTGAGGATCTGGTTCTATGTGGATCTGGTTCAGTGAGGATCTGGTTCAGTGAGGATCTGGTTCAGTGAGGATCTGGTTCAGTGAGGGTCTGGTTCTATGTGGATCTGGTTCAGTGAGGATCTGGTTCTATGTGGATCTGGTTCAGTGAGGATCTGGTTCAGTGAGGATCTGGTTCAGTGAGGATCTGGTTCTATGTGGATCTGGTTCAGTGAGGGTCTGGTTCTATGTGGATCTGGTTCAGTGAGGTCTGGTTCAGTGAGGATCTGGTTCTATGTGGATCTGGTTCAGTGAGGGTCTGGTTCAGTGAGGATCTGGTTCAGTGAGGATCTGGTTCAGTGAGGGTCTGGTTCTATGTGGATCTGGTTCAGTGAGGATCTGGTTCTATGTGGATCTGGTTCAGTGAGGATCTGGTTCAGTGAGGATCTGGTTCAGTGAGGATCTGGTTCTATGTGGATCTGGTTCAGTGAGGGTCTGGTTCTATGTGGATCTGGTTCAGTGAGGTCTGGTTCAGTGAGGATCTGGTTCTATGTGGATCTGGTTCAGTGAGGGTCTGGTTCAGTGAGGGTCTGGTTCAGTGAGGGTCTGGTTCTATGTGGATCTGGTTCAGTGAGGATCTGGTTCAGTGAGGATCTGGTTCAGTGAGGGTCTGGTTCTGTGAGGTCTGGTTCAGTGAGGGTCTGGTTCTGTGAGGTCTGGTTCAGTGAGGATCTGGTTCTATGTGGATCTGGTTCAGTGAGGTCTGGTTCAGTGAGGATCTGGTTCTATGTGGATCTGGTTCAGTGAGGATCTGGTTCAGTGAGGATCTGGTTCAGTGAGGGTCTGGTTCAGTGAGGATCTGGTTCTATGTGGATCTGGTTCAGTGAGGATCTGGTTCAGTGAGGATCTGGTTCAGTGAGGTCTGGTTCAGTGAGGATCTGGTTCTATGTGGATCTAGTTCAGTGAGGGTCTGGTTCAGTGAGGGTCTGGTTCAGTGAGGGTCTGGTTCTATGTGGATCTGGTTCAGTGAGGATCTGGTTCAGTGAGGGTCTGGTTCTGTGAGGTCTGGTTCAGTGAGGGTCTGGTTCTGTGAGGTCTGGTTCAGTGAGGATCTGGTTCTATGTGGATCTGGTTCAGTGAGGTCTGGTTCAGTGAGGATCTGGTTCTATGTGGATCTGGTTCAGTGAGGACTGGTTCTATGTGGATCTGGTTCAGTGAGGATCTGGTTCAGTGAGGGTCTGGTTCTGTGAGGTCTGGTTCAGTGAGGGTCTGGTTCTGTGAGGTCTGGTTCAGTGAGGATCTGGTTCTATGTGGATCTGGTTCAGTGAGGTCTGGTTCAGTGAGGATCTGGTTCTATGTGGATCTGGTTCAGTGAGGATCTGGTTCAGTGAGGATCTGGTTCAGTGAGGGTCTGGTTCAGTGAGGATCTGGTTCTATGTGGATCTGGTTCAGTGAGGATCTGGTTCAGTGAGGATCTGGTTCAGTGAGGGTCTGGTTCTGTGAGGTCTGGTTCAGTGAGGGTCTGGTTCTGTGAGGTCTGGTTCTGTGAGGTCTGGTTCAGTGAGGGTCTGGTTCTATGTGGATCTGGTTCAGTGAGGATCTGGTTCAGTGAGGGTCTGGTTCTATGTGGATCTGGTTCAGTGAGGGTCTGGTTCAGTGAGGGTCTGGTTCTATGTGGGTCTGGTTCTGGTTTTTGCTCCTTGACCCGGCTCCTGATCACGTACTTCATCATGATGGGGATCCTGACTCTGTACACGTCCTACAAAGAGAAGAACATCTTCCTGGTGGCCCTGCAGAAGGACCCGGCCGGGATGGATCCAGACCACGTGTGGCAGCTCTCCTCCTCCCTCAAAAGGTCAGAATCTTTACCCAGAATGCACCGTGATGGCGCCGCCTCAGACACATGTTAGAATCTGGTTTATAAGAGTCTGTTTGGGGGGGGCGATCGAAGTCTCGCCCTCATCGTGCGGTAAAATCGTGCTCCGAGTGTTGACTGAACTTTAAGCAGGTCACTTTGTAAACAAGCGTTTCTTTGACTGCATCTGTTTAAAAAAAACATTTGTCAAACAGTCGTTCAGTGAGTAACCATGGCAACAGGTTGTAGCTTCAGTCGTTAAAAACATCTGTTCTCTGTTCAGTGAGTAACCATGGCAACAGGTTGTAGCTTCAGTCGTTAAAAACATCTGTTCTCTGTTCAGTGAGTAACCATGGCAACAGGATGTAGCTTCAGTCGTTAAAAACATCTGTTCTCTGTTCAGTGAGTAACCATGGCAACAGGTTGTAGCTTCAGTCGTTAAAAACATCTGTTCTCTCGTGTCAAACGGTCGTTCAGTGAGTAACCATGGCAACAGGTTGTAGCTTCAGTCGTTAAAAACATCTGTTCTCTCGTGTCAAACGGTCGTTCAGTGAGTAACCATGGCAACAGGTTGTAGCTTCAGTCGTTAAAAACATCTGTTCTCTCGTGTCAAACGGTCGTTCAGTGAGTAACCATGGCAACAGGTTGTAGCTTCAGTCGTTAAAAACATCTGTTCTCTCGTGTCAAACGGTCGTTCAGTGAGTAACCATGGCAACAGGTTGTCGCTTCAGTCGTTAAAAACATCTGTTCTCTCCTGTCAAAGGTCGTTCAGTGAGTAACCATGGCAACAGGTTGTCGCTTCAGTCGTTAAAAACATCTGTTCTCTGTTCAGTGAGTAACCATGGCAACAGGTTGTCGCTTCAGTCGTCCTGTGTTTTGTTCTTCTGTGACCGTGTGTGATGTTCCTCGCCGTGTCTCGCAGGTTCGATGACCTGTACACGCTCCGAGTGTCCTTCTCCGACGGGAAGACGAAGAACTGGAGGGAGGCGGAGTTCACCAAGTCTGTGGCGGTGTTCTTCGACGACAGCGGGACGCTCGTGATGGACCAGTTTGAGAAGAGCGTTTCCAAACTCCACGACACGCTGGCCATGGAGAAGAAGACCAAATAACACACACACTGACACACACACACACACACACACACACACACACACACACACACACACACACACACACACACACACACACAGACAGACACACACAGACACACACAGACACAGACACACACACACACAGACACACACACACAGACACAGACACACACACACTGACACACACACACACGCACGCACGCACACACACACACACAGACACACACACACACACAGACACACACACACACACACACACACAGACACACACACACACACACACACACACACACACACACACACACACAGACACACACTGACACACACACACACACACACACACACACACACACAGCTCCACGAGGATCTCATGGTCTCCGGGTGCAGCAGGTCGAGGGACAGAAAGAATCCTCTCGTTTTCTTTTTCATTAAATCTTGTTTTTCTTTACCAGCCGCTCCTCTGACCTCTGACCTCTGACCTCTGACCTCTTGGTCTTTGTTCACCCTCTGCTGTAAATGTTCACGCAGCGTTTGTTTCCCTCGTCTGATCGTTTGGCTGATAAATATGAACACTTGTTGTCATCATGTTGAAACGTCCGTCAGTCAAGAGGACGCCGTCAGTATTTCTCTCCCTAAACATTTCAGCTGAGTTCATGTCACACACACACACACACACGTTCAAACACACACACACACACACACACGTTCAAACACACACACACACACACACACAGAGACACACACAGAGACACACATACACACATACGTTCAAACACACACACACAGAGACACACACACCACACACATACACACATACGTTCAAATACACACACACGTTCAAACACACACACACACACGTTCACACACACACACACACGTTCACACACACACACATGTTCAAAACACACACACACACGTTCAAACACACACACACACATACACACACACACACACACGTTCAAACACACACACACGTTCAAACACACACACACACGTTCACACACACACACACACGTTCACACACACACACATGTTCAAACACACACACACACGTTCAAACACACACACACACAGAGACACACAC